TCCTCCCACCCACCTTCCTGCAAAAATGCCATCCCCTATTCCTTCGCCTCCACAGCATCTGCTCCCAGGATGAGGCATTCCACTCCTGTACATCTCAGATGTCCTCATTTTTCAAGGACCGCAACTTACCCCCCTCAGTGGTCGAGAACGCCCTCGACCGTGTCTCCCGCAACTCATCCCTCACACCCCCTCCCCGCAATAACAACCAAAACAGAATCCCCCTCGTCCTCACGTACCACCCCACCAACCTCCGGATCCAACGCATCATCCTCTGACACTTCCGCCATCTGCAATCCGACCCCACCACCAAAGACATCTTTCCCTCCCAACCCTTATCTGCTTTCCGGAGGGACCACTCTCTCCGGGACTCCCTTGTCTGCTCCACACTCCCCTCCAGCCCCACCACACCCGGGACTTTTCCCTGCAACCATAGGAAGTGCTACACCTGCACCTCACTCCTCACCCCCATCCCAGGCCCCAAGAAGACTTTCCACATCAAGCAGATGTTCACCTGCACATCTGCTAACGTGGTATACTGCATCCGCTGTTCCCATTGTGGCCTCCTCTACATCGGCTTGGGAACCGCTTTGCAGAACACCTACGCTCGGTTCGCACTAACCAACTGCACCTCCCAGTCACGAACCATTTCAACTTCCCCTCCCATTCCTCAGATGACATGTCCATCCTGGGCCTCCTGCAGTGCTACAACGATGCTACCTGAAGGTTGCAGGAACAGCACCTCATATTCCGCTTGGGAACCCTGCGGCCCAATGGTATCAATGTGGACTTCACAAGCTTCAAAATCTCCCCTCCCCCTACCGCATCCCAAAACCAGCCCAGCTCCCTCACCTGTCCTTCCTCCCACCTCAAGCCCCACCCCCATCTCCTACCTACTAACCTTATCCCGCCCCCTTGACCTGTCCGTCCTCCCTACCTCCCCAACTACACTCACCTTTACTGGCTCCATCCCCGCCTCTTTGACCTGTCTGTCTCCTCTCCACCTATCTTCTCCTCTCTCCATCTTCTATCCACCTCCCCCTCTCTCCCTATTTATTTCAGAACCCCCTTCCCCTCCCCCATTTCTGAAGGGTCTAGGCCCGAAACGTCAGCCTTCCTGCTCCTCTGATGCTGCTTGGCCTGCTGTGTTCATCCAGCTCTACACCTTGTTATCTCAGATTCTCCAGCATCTGCAGTTCCTACTATCTCTGAAACTCATTTACTTTTCTCCACTTTGTTGGTCCCAACATGCATCATTATGACTCAATCTGTCAAACAATGAAGTCACCAGTAAAGCATTTAACTCTCCAACTGGGGCCTAAAATCAATCAATAAAATCAAAGTACTGTGTTGTTAGAAATAAATGCAGAAATTGTTGGAGAAACCCAGCAGGTGGAATGTAGAGATAAATGGAGTTAACATCGTAAACTGTAATCCCTCAACCAATGTCTTATATAAACGTCATTTCATTGGTTCTCTATTAATTGTACCATAGAAAACTCGAAATTCAATGTGCTACTTTATGCTTGATTCTATTGTCATTTCCAAATCTAAAAATGCATATGTCTACACTTATCTATTTCAGTTCTTCCATTCTGTTCGGAATGCTTTCATTTAGGTCATTATTCTTTTCAAGTTCCTTTTCCTTCTCAAGTTCCTGTATTCAACTGCATCTCCCATGCTCTCACTCACTTCACTAACCTGTTAAAAGGCATTCTGTGATAGCTTGGAGTCACTCTCAGATTGTCAATTTTTACACAAACTTGATATCACTTCTTGCATCAGCATGCATAATGTTCATATAATCAAACAGAACACAGGTATATCATAAATCTATGGGCACACTATTAGCCACATCCTGTCAGTCAGAAAAAAAGCATCCATTTACAACTACCATCTGTTCCACTCCCTTCTACATCAGTCCATATGGCTGCATTCCACATTACATGTTGCATAAATTATTGCACAAACCTTTTACATGGCATCTTATCAAGTGGCTACTCCAAACCCATTCATATTGCATTCACCACATTCCTTTTATCAATGTACTGTAACACTTCAGAGCCTGAAGTACCCTTTGAAGATCCATTAGAACAGACCTGAGTAGCCTATACTTTTCCTAATGTTCAATATTCTATTCCTATCATTGAGTTCAGGCAGTTTTCTCTTTGCTAACAACATGTAAATTTCAGTACGAAACCTCGAATGACCAAATTCAAGCCAATCATGACTTGTCAGATAATAGCGATCCTAGCACAAATCCTTACTAGGCATCACATCCCACTTTCTCCTAGCCAGAGAAGCTTCTTTCAGTCTCTATCATGCATTTTTCATTTCATAATTTTTTTGAGATCTTGTGGTGGCGTGAGTAGCATCCATACCTCTGGACCACCAGCTCTGGGTTTGAGTCTCACTCCAGGACATGGTGGCCATGGTAAATTTGTTCAAAATGTGGCCAAATAAATTGATTTTCAACCTGTAAATTTTTCTAAGGCACTTGATGACAGACAATAAGAGCTGGTGAGTCTCTTAGTCAGTAACAGTGCGGAAGGCAGTAACAAAGCCTGATGCCACTTGTCCTTATTTTTTTGTGATGAATGTCTTAAATAAAACACTTTCTACATCTCTGTACATCAACCACATTCACTGTATTACCTTGGATTTTTCTTTCCTGTTCTATTGAATCTACAGTATAAGACAGTCCATTGAGCCCTATATGATCCATGCCAGTGTTTATATTGGGAATTATATTCATTATTAACTGTGAAATATCATAACTTGCCTGATTCTATCTGCTTCCCCATAATGCAGGAATACATTTACATTCCTATATTCTATATTTAAATAAGTCAGAAATTCTTTTGAAAACGTTTTGCAAAACTTACAAAAATTCACTAAGGGTGATGGGAGATGTCATTTTACTTCAATCAATTCTCATACAAATTGAAAGCAACAATATTTTAAAAACTGCATGTGTTCACAAATGCCATTAATTAATCTTCAGTAAGAAAATCTAGTCAAAGGCTAAACTTATGAAATAGAATAAAAACTTCAAAGAAATGTTCTGAACGATGATTGTCAGTGTTTATGACAAGCTTCCTTGCTTTGTATCAGTGCTAACAGACAAGCAAAGACAGACAAACTGTGAGCATTGAAGGTCTGGCTCAGTGAGCAAAATGGCAAATGGAAAGACAAGGCAGGGATGCTGTGAGTAGAGTAGGAAAATAACTGAGTGCGTGCCAAGAGAGTCAGTGAGCAGCCCTGAGATGCACACGATTCCTGCCCATGAGCTGAATGACTATCCATTCCAATGGGAGGTGTCTATGCACTCCAAAGTGCAGAAACATATTGTGAGGGGATTTGAGATATGCAGTGATGATACAGAAAGGGTAGTATGTGGCAAATATCAACACAGCGCACATGCAGTACAGACCGGAGTATCCAAAATGGAGGTTCAGTGGATTAAGCGATGAATTGGAGTCACAAAGTGCCGCTCTGGCTTTCACGTTGGGAATTCTAGATGACTAATTTCTATCTGGCAGGTGAACAAATGGGAAATGGCATATTAATTTGATGAGATTAGGCAGTAATTAGGGATAATGAGTAATAAACTCCATTAATAGACCTCTTACTACTTCCTAACAAGAATCTCGTCTCTACGTCCAGAACTTGTTTGGAGAATGTAACGTTTTGGTCTGAAAGGCAGGATGGGCCTTGCTGGACTTCTCACCTGATTTTCCCAAATTTCTCACTCATAGCCCATGGCGTTCAGAGGCTGGGAAGATTTCTCCTAAATATATCTCAAAAACTGGAACAGGAGTTTGAGGAAGCCATTTCACACTGCTACCATACAATTGCTATGCAACGTAGATATGCAATTCTGGGAACATCATGTCAAACAAAAGCCCCTTCAGTTGTTTGTAATAAAGCATAGTACAGACTATACTCAACCAGTGCCATGTTTGGAAAAAACTAAAAATGAATGTCAATTTTTAGATGCAAATCCATGTTTAGGTGGGACTTTATGATGGCTTGCAATGATCTAGCACTGGGATGCAATGGCCTCCTGGTATTAGCACTGGACGATTAATCCAGAGGCCCAGGTAGTGTTCTGGGGACCTGGGTTCACATCCTTCCATGGTATGTTGTAGAAATTGAATTCCTTTTCAAAAAAAAAAAAAAAAAGTGGCAATAAGAGGCTAATGATGACCATGAAACCACTGTGGTAAAACCCCATCTGATTCATTAATGCCCATTAGCGAATGAAACTGCTATCCCTACCTGGTCTGACCTGGATGTGATTCCAGACCAATAGCAATGTGGTTGACTCTTAACTACCCTCTGGGCAATTTAGGGATAGGCAATAAATGCTGGCCTTGCAAGTGATGCTCACATCCCAGGAATAAATAAAACATCCTAAGTGCACAAATAGTTAAAATAAACTATGTAACAATTTAAAATAATAATTTGAGTTTGTTAAGAGTTTGTGTACACTTACATTCATATATAGGGATCCATTCTCTGTAAACAAAAGCAATGCGCTTGAACAGTGTGTGTGTTTTGAATTAACTGGAAGTTTACAGAGCTAACAATTCCTCATTGCTTTCTCTATGGCAACAGCGCAGCCAATGAATATCGACTTGCCAACCAATCAACACATTTTTCTCCTGTACTATAAATTGTTGTGATTGTTTGAAATTTTGCATTGTTTGTCTGTTAAGTCAAGAAGAAAAGCTTCACCAAGATCTATCTCCTTTCAGCAATCTTTCAATTTTTGTTTAAACTTCTGTTTTATTGCAACTTTAGCAAAAGGAGGAGACAAGACATGGATGATCATGTTGGGAAGTTAGCCATTTAGGAAGTTTAGGTTTGGTCAGGAAATTTCATTATAATAGAGCAAATTAGCCAATGGTTAAGATGAGTATAGTTGTGTTAATTAACATGCTATGCAGTAGCATGGGTGAACATGAGTGCATCAGCCCACATATGTGCGCAATACATGATATTTTCAAAAACATTTATTTTCCTTCCTTATTCATAATATGCTTCTTGTTTGGGAAAGCACAATAGTTCATCTCCAGGCAGTCCATTACTGGTAAAGCTTTCCTCCCTCCACTGACCAAAGTGAAACGGGTTTCAGTTGCTCTTTATTGGAAGCCTGAGTAGAAAGAGCAGATCAATATTCTTACACTGTAGTAGTAGGTCAACTCTCAAGAATAATTCAATTCAGCAAAACAAAGAAAAAGTTTTGGAAAAAAACCTTTGCCCAAGTGACGTAAAAGAAAGTGATGGATTGTTTTTAATCCTTTACAATCAGAACATTAGAATAACAGTCAACAAATTGATCGGATTGAGGTACACCCACAGAAAGACATATCCAGTCTATTCCAATAATTGTCAATAAAGGGAAAAGTTTGACTTAAGCATTGCAAATAGCAGGAACCATAAAAAACTGAATTCTTCAATAAGCAATATAAAGTGAAATGAAGTGCTAAAAATTGAATTATCATGAAATAAATTAAACAACTTTCAGTTAAGAATTACAACATTAATTGGAAACAATATAAAAGTGCTTCAGTATTGAAATTTCCCACTAAAGGTTAACTGAAGTTTAAAATTCAGGGAACTAAATGAACAGTTGAGTATAAATTAAAGGCAGAAGATGGGCAGTCTCAACAATGCAACTTACTCTGTAGGTCCCTTGAACTTCAAAAGTAACAGCGACAATCCACACCTTAAATAACACTTATGTAATACAATATCCCAAAACATTTACAGGAGCTTTATAAAATAAAATTTCCAGCAGAAATTCGTATATCCCATGCTTCTCTTTTCCAAAAAAAAGCCCCACATTTTAGGTTTGTACTATATTTACTTGAATATAAAACAATTGTCAGATTCCTCAATGACCATTCTGGGATATCATGAAAAAGAAAACAATGAGACCTGCATGTTAATAGTGTAGTACATCTAGCTATTAATCTTACTTTGCAATCGGGCTTCCTTTTTTCTTCCCAACCTTTACTTGACGGTCGCCAGGAGGTGTACGTATGTGGAACTACAGGTATAAAGTCAACTCCAACTGGTGGAGGAAATCCTAGAACCGAAGGATGCATTATACCGTCCCACTGCAAAAATAACACACAATGATTGTCACTTTGCATGCAAGAAAACAAGCTTCATTAATCAGACACCAATTGCAAATTAGTCCACTTCTTATAGTTTGTTTTACCCTCTTGAAAAGAAAAAAAATTATCTAATCAGATTTAGTTTTTGCTGTCTAAAAAGTGTTTGAACAATAAATTCAAAAAAAAAGGATAAATATAATTTTGTTTGCGATAGACAGTGGTAAATCCTAAGCAATGACCCATAGTGGGAGTTTTTACTTTTACCACTGTCTGAACATAATCAAGAGCAGACTAATCACTCCTTAAAACACCAATACATTTTTATTTTTATTGTTTTCAGTGGAAATCTGGCAGTGTATTAACCAGGCGGCTTGTTAAAATTCACCAAAAGCGAATTCTAAAATAATTTCCGGCAAACATTGGTTCAACTATCCCTGCCCACCTCTCTGCATTTTGTGCTACATATGTCAATGAAAGATTAATACTGTAGAACTTCAACTCTTTCTTGGCAACAAAAATGCAAAGATAACCTTTTATCAGTTCTTCATTTAAGTATAAATTTATTCTATCCAGGCTTTAAGGGCAACTGAACTTTTCCTCCTTTGCCATCATAGGGACCGAAACATACTGGAAGTAACACAGGCTTAAACACTGAGGAAACTGTGCACAAAAGCCAACTTATACTATGAGCTGATTAATTTTTCATACTTTGTTGTACTTGTGGAAAGCATTGGGTTAGGATTATGATAGCTTGTATCTGATAGTCACTAACCTTCGTAAAATGCTATCACCACACAACTGTGAAGTATAGGCAGCATCTATAATTTACAAACACTGGACTAACCTAATCTTAAATGAAACACAGACAAGCGCTTTTCAACTAATAGTGATTCGGACCATCCAAAGACCCTAAATATTTTCAAATTGAACAGAAACTTGTCTTTTTACACACTAGAACATTCACTTAACATTAATAAATAAACAGGACTACTTGCATATGAAACAACACAACAGCAAGTGACTGAAAGGACAAATTGATTCTACAATCAACATATCAGATCCAAGCTCTCCAGTCCTGCCACATCCAGTTGTGAACTAAGCAACTGGAGGTGAAGGTTCCACAAATATCACTATCCGCACTAACAAAGAAGCCCAACATTTTAGTGCAAAAGGTATTCTGAAGCATTCATTACAAGCTTCAGACAGAATTGCTAAGTGGACAATCCATCATGGCCTCCACCAGTGGTTCTCAGCATCACAGATGCCAGTCTTATTCACCCCACCCGATATTGAGAATAAGTTGGATATAACATTTCAGCAATTATAGAGTCATAGAGTAAGACAGACATTCAGCATGGAGACAGGCCCTTCAGTCCAACTCATCCATGCCGACCAAGTCTCCCAAACTAAGCTAGTCCTATTTGCCTGCATTTGGCCCATATCCCTCCAAACATTCCCTATTCATGTACCTGTCCAAATGTCTTTTAAATGTTGTAGCTGTACTTGCATCTACCACTTCCTCTGATAGTTTATTCCACACATGACATCCTCTGTATGGAACAAATTGCCCCTCAGGTCCCTTTTACATGTTTCTCCTCTCACCTTAAAAATATACTTTCTAGTCTTGAACTCCCCCATCCTAGGGAAAAGACTCTTGCTATTCACCTTCTCTATACCCCTCACATTTGTATAAGTCTCTTTCAGGTCACCCCTCAAACCTCCTACACTCCAGTGAAACAAGTCCCTGCCTATCAAACCTCTCTTTGTAACTCAAATGCTCCATCCCTCACAACATCTTGGTAGATCTTTCCTAAAATCTCTCCAATATAATAGCATCTTTCCTAAAGCAGGGCGACCAGAACTGTACACAGTACACCACATGTGGCCTCACCAACATCTTGTACAACCTCAACGCAACGTCCCAACTCCTATGGTCTGAGCCACCTCGATAGTCTGAGCAATTCAGACTAGCTTGTTAAATGCCTTCTTAACCACCCTGTCTATCTGTAACACAACTTTCAAAGTCCCCTAGATCTCTCTTTATGACAACACTACACAGGGCGCTAGATTTAACTGTATAAAAAAGTGTTTTTTAATTCAATCACAGTATGTGGGCATCACTGTTTAGGCCAGCAATTAGAGATGGGCAATAAATGCTGCCTAGCGAGCGACGTCCTCATCCCATGCATGAATAAAGGAAAAAAAAAATGTCACAGGTCCTCAGCCCAAAAAAAACCTCCACCATCACCCTCTGTATCCTACCATCAAGCCAATTCACAAGTGCGCTCGCTCTCTCTAGTACTGAAGACTTGTGCTCCAGGACTTGCTGTTGCCCTAGCCAAGCTGTTCCACTACATATTGGAATGCTGGCATCTACTGGACAATGTGATGAGTTCCCCAGCTCTGTCCTGTACACAAAAAGCAGGATATATCCCACCCGGTTAACTACCACCTCATCAGTCTATTCTCGACCTTCTGCAAAGGGATGGAAGATGTCATCAACAGTACAGTCAAGCTCACAAACACTTCAATTGAGTTCTGCCAGAGCTACTCAACTCCTGACCTCACTTTCGGTGCAAGATGACAGTGGAGTAACAGGGCTGAGTGTGGGCAGTTGCTTTGGGCACATTGGCTTCCATCTGCTTTCCTTCTTTGTTGTTTTATTTTTACTTCTACTGTTTCCTTTTGCTTTATTTTCCTTTCCGTCTTGGTTTTCCTTCTTTTCTGTTGTGGGTTGATTGGCAGCACAGACGCGGCAGAGAGAGTGGGCCACATGCGGAGTGGCGGATGTGGATTCTCCTGGCAATGGGAGACAGCGGCAACACCGAGGATGTTCTACCGGCAATAGGATGCTAGCCGCAGATGAGCATGTTCCCCTGTCGTCCAGGGCCTGTGGCAGCGGCAGTGAGGTCATCCTTCCAGTTCTCGGGGCTGACAGCAGTAGCAGCAAGGTTGTTCTCCCCGGCATCAGGGCCGGCAGCAAAGCTCCTCCAGCGATCGGGGACGGCGGTGCTGACAGCAGCGGACTCTTTAAAATGGCAGCTGCCGGCAAGACAACATCTGCAACCAAACCAGGAAATGTGGCCCGGTGGCAGCCTGGCCTAGCAGTGGAGGCAGGAACTCTTGGCTGCAGGGCGAGTGTGGCTTCAGCAGCATCAGCTAAGTGGGCCGAGTGGCGAAGAGATGGCACCTAAAGTGGGGGGACTCAATCTCTGGTGGGTCCAGCACTGAGGGCAATGGAGGTCTCCCTTGAGGCTAAGTATCAGTGTGGACTGGGTTGTAAAGACCGCTATTCTGAACTTTTTACGTCTTTACTTTTCTAATTCATTCCTATGATCAATAGTGCTGGACCATTTCTTTCCTTACTTTTCTAATTTTTTTTGTTTCCCAAGATTTTAATCTTAAATACCCGTACCTAGGTACCTTTGGACCTAACATGGTGCTGTAATGCAGGGACTGTAAACTTTTCATTGCACTCATTTACGTACAAGTGGCAATAAAGCTAATTCAATTCAATTCATTACAGCCTTGGTTCAAACATGGACAAAGCGGCTAAATTTCAGGGCAACAGTCTTTTATATCAGGGCTACATTTGACCAAGTGTGGCATCAAGCAGCCCTAGCAAAACTGAAGTCAATGGCATCAGGAGGCAAACTCTCCACTGGTTGGAGTCGTACCTGGCACATTGGAAGATGGTTAAGGTTGTTGGAGGTCAGTCATGTCAGCTCCCAGATATCTAAGGGCTCCTCAGGGTAGTATCCTAGGCCTAAATATCTTCAGCTGCTTCATCAATGACCTTTCTTCCATCATAAAGGTCAGAAGTGGGGATGTTTGTTGATGACTGCACTATTAGCAACTCCCCAGATAGTAGTTCCAGCAGTCTTTGTCCAAATGCATAAGACATGGATAATATCCAGACTTGAGTTGATAAGTGGCAAGTAACATTCATGCCACACAAGTCCCAGGCAATGACCATTTCCAAAAAGCAAAAATCTAACTTTTGACATTACCTTGACAGGGACCCATTTGGTTAACATTGACCTATAATTGAACCAGACTATTCATGTAGGTGGCTACAAACAAGGATCAAAGGCTAAGAATCTAGCAGCAGTGCATCTCCCAAAGCCTGCCTACCATCTACACAGCACAAGTGAGGAGTGTGAAGAATGGTCCCCACCTGCATGGATGAGAGTAGCTCCAATAACACTCAAGAAGTTTGATACCATTCCAGACAAAGTCGCTGACTTGATTGGTACAACTACAGACATACACTTCCTGCATCACTAATGCTCAGCAGCAGTGTGCACCATCTACAAGATGCATTGCAGAAATTCACCAGGGCTCCTTAGACAGGAACTTTCACACCCACAACCACTACCATCTAGAAGGACAAGGGCAGAAGATACATAGGAACACCACCACCTTACAAGTTCATGTTCAAGTGACTCATCATCCAGACTTGGAAATATACCATCACTGGGTTAACATCCTTCTTAAGGGCGATTAAGGATGGGCAATAAATGTTGGCTTAGCCAGCAATGCCCACTGCCCACGAGAGAATAAAAACTAAACTACAATCACAATGCATGAGTGATCAAGATCTCAAAATGGTATCACTGCCCTCAGCGAGACCTTCCTTTGTGCAGATTGGTAGCTGAAGGAACACAGGGATACACTTTCAAATAGAACGTCCACCTGAACACTAAGACATTTGAAGGCCCAAGAATCCAAGTAAAAGAAGAACAATGTCTCAGTCCTAAAGCTGCCCAATGAAATAATGGAATTCCGAGTGTTGCTCATGACCAGTGTGAATATTAACATTGTTTAAAGAAGTATAGAAGTTGAAGCTTTTTCATCTTGGACTCATTAGAAGTAGGAAGGAAGAAACAGTTTTGTAAAGAAGAAACACCATTTTATATCAAATGAGAATGCTGATTGATCAGGCCATAATTGGCCATAAATGCAGCAATAACAGTTAACTGTCAATCTTAATTCTCAG